GGATGTACTGAGATAGGAAAAGGAAGCAGAAACTACAAGGTGTACCATAAAGTTTCATGAATATGGACCACATGGATATTCTTCATGATCCAGCAGTTTTAGAATACATTAAGAACCTAATTATTGAAGCATGATGGTTATAAAAAAAAATTGTAAGTGAACTAAAAAATAAATAGCATCTCTCTCTCTCTCTTTTATTTAAAATGATTGTCTTAGTTGTGTAATAAATTCTTTGACTTTTGTTTATTTATCAAAACTTTTATTTGTAGAAATTATTTTTCAACTCTATTGCTCTTTTTTTCAGTTAGCCTTACGTGAAAGCTATATAGCATTAAATGTTTTTAGATTTTCCTTTTTATTAAATTAATAAAATGGGGAAAACAAATTATTTTTGGATATTAAATTACATATGTAACTGAAAAATATTGTTTATAAATGCATTATTTTAATATTTTTACTTATTTACTGTCAAGAGCATTTAACAAAATGTCCACTTATTAGTTTATTGAGAATTCTTTGTTTGAAACTTTATGTATAAGTGTCTGTTCAAATTTCAAATTTTATTTGCTGCTTCATTTTTTCAAGAATTTTGCATATCTTTTAAGATAAAGAATCTGTTCTTTATTTAACACCGGATATTATAAATCTTAATAATATAAGGAATGTGATTATTTTGAATTCCAGATTCTAAATTTTGGAAAATCTTCTAAATTAATGTTCTCGTGTGCCAATCATTTTCAAAGAATTGATAAGAAACTTCGCTGGAAATTTGATGAGATAATTCTTACAAAGGTCGTATAAATACGGTTTTGTTTATGTATATATTGATTTCTTTAAAAACTATTAAGATTATCTTAAGTTAAAGCATCGTAGTGCTTACATAACAGTGACATGTCATGTTGATAATGAAATTTGTTTCACATAACTCATTTTGTTTTACAGTTTTTTTTGTGTTATTTCTGTGCAGTTTTGAAAGAAATAGATTAAAACATGTTATATATATTGGAATTGTTCACTAAAATTTGTAAGAATAGAGCTCGTAACTTCCTGTTATGAAGCATAGCAATTTTTATAATGACTGCATAAGTTTGAACTGTAGCTTTAAAAAAATAACAAACTTCAGGTGTTTTTGTATATTTGCATCTCAAGATTTTTAATGGATATTTATGATCACATATACATCTATGTGATTTTGCAGTAATATTGAATGTGAATTAAATAATTCAAGATATTTCATTGTAACAATGAATAAGTCACTATATTTTTTATAATATGACGCATCACTGCTCATCCCATGTTATCCAGGAGCTTATCTTCTGTTATTAGGAGTAATAATGGCTGGACTTTCATTATTATTATTTTTTTATTATATTAGAATTATAAAATAGTACAACAGTTAAAACTTATGCAGTGCTTTCAGTAAATGCAATTAAAAATGAAAAATAATTAAATTGGCTTAGAATTCAGTAAGTTCTGGACAGATAAAATAATTAGGGTGAAATAATGACCAAAATAATCTGAATTATGTGTTGTATTTCGTATTGTAGTATTCATATTAGAAATTATGTGTGGTGTTGTGGTATTCATATTATAAAATTGTTTGTACTTGTATTACTTTTGGTAAACTTTTCCTGAAGTATAATTTTAAAATTAATTTCATGAAATGCTAAATATAACTTTAATGTTTATAACAGTAACTGTGGTGAACTAAATAAGTTGTTTAGGCTTAAAAGGTTGGTAAAATAGTGAAAGTTTATTTCAACATTCTCATAATAAAACACAAGAATAATTTGGGAATTGAAGTTCTACTTTCAAATACATTTTGGTCAGAATTATAACAAGATGAATAAAAATTACTGTTTCCCTACAAAAACATAATCATATATGATAGTTTGTTATAACTGTGTCTTTGGTAGGTTAAAATGACAATGAAGTTTGTTTTACTGAGCTAGCTTTAACAAACAGTTGAAAATTATAACATTTAATTGAACCATTCATTGTGTGTTTGTTTGGCAAGCATGTTTTGATAAGTTTCTAGTATCCAACTGTATCTTAACTTTTGTTTTTATTTCTTAAAGATATCTTGCAAAAGGCAAGTGCTGGTTGGGTAAAAGAAAGACTGTTAGGTTACAAACACTTAAATGTTGAGATACGTGTTGATAAAAAGGTATTTTTGGGATGTTTAAACACTTCTCACCCCGAACATTCTGAGGAAATGTCGTGCCGTATACAGATACAAGTTTGGATGTTAATGTATTATCGTTTCCTCTGTATTAGTGCTTTTTACTATGATAACAGTGATAATAAATTTTGAAATGCTAGTGAATTTCATTTTTTTTGGCAATGCTCATTTTGTTTTGTGTTTTGGTCTATCCTGTATAATGATAATCAGTTCACAGCAAAGTTACTAAGTTATAAATTAGTTGCAATCATTTACTTTGGATAAGAAATTTTTGAAAGGATTGTTATTTCTTTCCCACTTAGCTTCATTACTTATTTCTGTTTAGCTAATGAGTTCTATAATTGTATTTGTAATTTTAACATTGACAGTCTGCTAATTTTGAGATTATTCATTAAATATTTAAGCACAAAAGTGACATTTTAAGTGACTTAAATCTTGACATTTATTTTTTGAGCATTTTCTGTGTGTTCCACTAAAATAGTGATTCCATCGATTTGTGCATGAAATGATGTATTAAGTTCTTAATGTCATTGGAAATGTGCATACAGTAGCCACGGAACAAATCTACGCTAATCTTACTTATCGGCCAATGAAATCACGCATTCTTTAATTGAGCCAATTGCATAATGAAAGTGATACACTTTTGTAGTTTTGGGGACCAATAACAATAGTGTTTTGTAGTTCTG